ACCATACATTACACTGCTACAGCACCATACATTACACTTGCTACAGTACCATACATTACACTGCTACAGTACCATACATTACACTGTTACAGTACCATACATTACACTGCTACAGTACCATACATTACACTACTACAGTACCATTCATTACACTGCTACAGTACCATACATTACACTGTTACAGTACCATACATTACACTGCTACAGTACCATACATTACACTGCTACAGTCACCACACATTACACTGCTACAGTACCATACATTACACTGCTACAGTACCATACATTACACTGCTACAGTACCATACATTACACTACTACAGTACCATACATTACACTGCTACAGTACCATACATTACACTACTACAGTACCATACATTACACTGCTACAGTACCATACATTACACTGCTACAGTACCATACATTACACTGCTACAGTACCATACATTACACTGCTAGTCACCATACATTACACTGCTACAGTACCATACATTACACTGCTACAGTACCATACATTACAGTGCTAGTCACCATACATTACACTGCTAGTCACCATACATTACACTGCTACAGTACCATACATTACACTGCTACAGTACCATACATTACACTGCTACAGTACCATACATTACACTGCTAGTCACCATACATTACACTGCTAGTCACCATACATTACACTGCTACAGTACCATATATTACACTGCTAGTCCCCATACATTACACTGCTACAGTACCATACATTACACTGCTACAGTACCATACATTACACTGCTACAGTACCATACATTACACTGCTACAGTACCATACATTACACTGCTACAGTACCATACATTACACTGCTACAGTACCATACATTACACTGCTAATCACCATACATTACACTGCTACAGTACCATACATTACACTGCTACAGTATCATACATTACACTGCTAGTCACCATACATTACACTGCTAGTCACCATACATTACACTGCTAGTCACCATACATTACACTGCTACAGTACCATACATTACACTGCTACAGTACCATACATTACACTGCTACTCACCATACATTACACTGCTACAGTACCATACATTACACTATTACAAATTCTGGCCACAAAATAGAGCGAAACACCAACGTCAAAGACCTGGGAGTGATCATGTCGGAGGATATCACCTTCAAGGACCAAAACATTGTATCGATCGCATCTGCTAGAAAAATGACAGGATGGATAATGAGAACCTTCAAAACGAGGGATGCCAAGCCCATGATGACACTCTTCAGGTCACTTGTTCTATCTAGGCTGGAATATTGCTGCACACTAACAGCACCTTTCAAGGCAGGTGAAATTGCTAACCTAGAAAATGTACAGAGAACCTTCACGGCGCGCATAACGGAGATAAAACACCTCAATTACTGGGAGCGCTTGAGGTTCCTGAACCTGTATTCCCTGGAATGCAGGCGGGAGAGATACATGATTATATACACCTGGAAAATCCTAGAGGGACTAGTACCGAACTTGCACACGAAAATCACTCACTACGAAAGCAAAAGACTTGGCAGACGATGCAACATCCCCCCAATGAAAAGCAGGGGTGTCAATAGCATGTTAAGAGACCATACAATAAGTGTCAGGGGCCCGAGACTGTTCAACTGCCTCCCAGCATACATAAGGGGAATTACCAACAGACCCCTGGCAGTCTTCAAGCTGGCACTGGACAAGCACCTAAAGTCGGTTCCTGACCAGCCGGGCTGTGGTTCGTACGTTGGTTTGCGTGCAGCTAGCAGTAACAGCCTGGTTGATCAGGCTCTGATCCACCAGGAGGCCTGGTCACAGACCGGGCCGCGGGGGCATTGACCCCCGGAACTCTCTCCAGGTAAACTCCAGGTAAACACTGCTACAGTACCATACATTACACTGCTACAGTACCATACATTACACTGCTACAGTACCATACATTACACTGCTACAGTACCATACATTACACTGCTACAGTACCATACATTACACTGCTACAGTTCCATACATTACACTGCTACAGTACCATACATTACACTGCTACAGTACCATACATTACACTGCTACAGTACCATACATTACACTGCTACAGTACCATACATTACACTGCTACAGTTCCATACATTACACTGCTAGTCACCATACATTACACTGCTAGAGTACCATACATTACACTGCTACAGTACCATACATTACACTGCTACAGTAATACATTACACTGCTACAGTCACCACACATTACACTGCTGCAGTACCATACATTACACTGCTTCAGTACCATACATTACACTGCTAGTCACCATACATTACATTGCTACAGTACCATACATTACACTGCTACAGTACCATACATTACACTGCTAGTCACCATACATTACACTGCTACAGTACCATACATTACACTGCTAGTCACCATACATTACACTGCTACAGCACCATACATTACACTGCTACAGTACCATACATTACACTGCTAGTCACCATACATTACACTGCTACAGTACCATACATTACACTGCTACAGTACCATACATTACACTGCTACAGTACCATACATTACACTGCTACAGCACCATACATTACACTGCTACAGTACCATACATTACACTGCTACAGCACCATACATTACACTGCTACAGTACCATACATTACACTGCTACAGTACCATACATTACACTGCTACAGTACCATACATTACACTGCTACAGTACCATACATTACACTGCTACAGTACCATACATTACACTGCTACAGTACCATACATTACACTGCTACAGTACCATACATTACACTGCTAGTCACCACACATTACACTGCTACAGTACCATACATTACACTGCTACAGTACCATACATTACACTGCTACAGTACCATACATTACACTGCTACAGTCACCACACATTACACTGCTGCAGTACCATACATTACACTGCTTCAGTACCATACATTACACTGCTAGTCACCATACATTACATTGCTACAGTACCATACATTACACTGCTACAGTACCATACATTACACTGCTAGTCACCATACATTACACTGCTACAGTACCATACATTACACTGCTAGTCACCATACATTACACTGCTACAGCACCATACATTACACTGCTACAGTACCATACATTACACTGCTAGTCACCACACATTACACTGCTACAGTACCATACATTACACTGCTACAGTACCATACATTACACTGCTACAGTACCATACATTACACTGCTACAGTACCATACATTACACTGCTACAGCACCATACATTACACTGCTACAGTACCATACATTACACTGCTACAGCACCATACATTACACTGCTACAGTACCATACATTACACTGCTACAGTACCATACATTACACTGCTACAGTACCATACATTACACTGCTACAGTACCATACATTACACTGCTACAGTACCATACATTACACTGCTACAGTACCATACATTACACTGCTACAGTACCATACATTACACTGCTAGTCACCACACATTACACTGCTACAGTACCATACATTACACTGATAGTCACCATACATTACACTGCTACAGTACCATACATTACACTGCTAGTCACCATACATTACACTGCTACAGTACCATACATTACACTGCTAGTCACCACACATTACACTGCTACAGTACCATACATTACACTGCTAGTCACCACACATTACACTGCTACAGTACCATACATTACACTGCTAGTCACCACACATTACACTGCTACAGTACCATACATTACACTGCTAATCACCACACATTACACTGCTACAGTACCATACATTACACTGCTACAGTACCATACATTACACTGCTACAGTACCATACATTACACTGCTACAGCACCATACATTACACTGCTACAGTACCATACATTACACTGCTACAGCACCATACATTACACTGCTACAGTACCATACATTACACTGCTACAGTACCATACATTACACTGCTACAGTACCATACATTACACTGCTACAGTACCATACATTACACTGCTACATTACCATACATTACACTGCTACAGTACCATACATTACACTGCTACAGTACCATACATTACACTGCTAGTCACCACACATTACACTGCAAGAGTACCATACATTACACTGCTACAGTACCATACATTACACTGTTACAGTACCATACATTACACTGCTACAGTCACCACACATTACACTGCTGCAGTACCATATATTACACTGCTACAGTACCATACATTACACTGCTAGTCACCACACATTACACTGCTACAGTACCATACATTACACTGCTAGTCACCACACATTACACTGCTACAGTACCATACATTACACTGCTACAGTACCATACAGTACACTGCTACAGTACCATACATTACACTGCTAGTCACCATACATTACACTGCTATAGTACCACACATTACACTGCTACAGTACCATACATTACACTGCTACAGTACCATACATTACACTGCTAGTCACCATACATTACACTGCTACAGTACCATACATTACACTGCTAGTCACCACACATTACACTGCTACAGTACCATACATTACACTGCTAGTCACCACACATTACACTGCTACAGTACCATACATTACACTGCTACAGTACCATACAGTACACTGCTACAGTACCATACATTACACTTCTAGTCACCATACATTACACTGCTATAGTACCACACATTACACTGCTACAGTACCATACATTACACTGCTACAGTACCATACATTACACTGCTAGTCACCATACATTACACTGCTACAGTACCATACATTACACTGCTAGTCACCATACATTACACTGCTACAGTACCATACATTACACTGCTAGTCACCATACATTACACTGCTACAGTACCATACATTACACTGCTACAGTACCATACATTACACTGCTACAGTACCATACATTACACTGCTACAGTACCATACATTACACTGCTACAGTACCATACATTACACTGCTAGTCACCATACATTATACTGCTACAGTCACCTACCGACTGGTGTCAAAGGTGACGGCACTGTAAGGCAACACTCGCAGACATCTCTGCAAGTATTTAATGTGTCTTGCTCTCAAAAAAATGTATCTTCCGGTAGTAGACATTGTCAAGGAATTTTGTTTACAAACTGCAAGTGCTGATGCCCCAGCCCCCCCATCACCACCCCCACCCCCACTACCACACCCTCCCCACCACTAGTATATACACTTATAGAACTTAAATTATTATACAAGAATACCTTTCAAATACAATTATAAGTTACAAATAAGCAACAGGTTTTATTTGAGACAAGTATTGGGGATTATCAAAAAAAATGGTTATTGCTGATTTTTGTTTTTGATGTTTGAGGACTAACTTCTCTATATTCTTCGTACGTTGCATGTTGAAGAAAATGTATGTTCGGAGTGGTAACCCTGAGGGGTTATTAACTCAAGATAACCTAATAAACTCAGCATGTTATCGAGGGCATGTTTCCATACACCTGCTACCTTGCTTCACGTAGCAATAAGTAGGTAGTAATAAAGTTGGTAGAATTACCGACAATATGTGAAGTAAAAGGACACAAGTGCAACTAATGTGACATATTATTGTGGCAACGTTTCGCTCTTCAGGAGCGAAACGTTGCCACAATAAAATGTCATATTAGTTGCACTTGTGTCCTTTTACTTTACAGTAAGTAGGTACTTGCTTGTTAGTTGACTTGTGGGTCACATCCTGGGGGAGAAAATCATGACCCCAAAGGAAATAAGAGCGACAGTCCTCAATGACGCACGGGCTTCATTGTGTTATCCTGGTTTAATAACCCTCCGGGTTAATAATCCAATCTTTTCTAAGCCTGTCTCCCAAGTTAGTTTTTACTTTAATATCTTTGTTATGCACCCTAAACCAATGGTTTGGGAGGTAGTCAAAAGATTACAGAGACCTAAAATGGGTCTAGGGCAGGGGTAAGGAACGTCCGGCCGTATAAGGTCCGCGAAATCATTTGGTCTGGCCCTACCAATGCAACCACAGGCGGGACTCGAAATTCAATAAATCTAGTAGCTTTTTTCATAGCAACATAAATTTAAAGTAACCCTTCCCCATAACGATTTACACTGTATAATGAAAAAAAATGGGAAACCTAAAATCCAAATAAGTATACAGAATTATGAAGATACCTTTTAGCAGAGTCGACTGCACTCTGGACTGACCGACGCAAACCTGGAAAAGCAGTTGCGAGTAGCAACATTATCAATACTAGCTAACATCACACACCTCACCAAACAGAAGCAGTTCCATCCATCACATTACGTATGAGTTAATTAAATGTTTGACCAAATGTAGCAGGCTGAGTTGATAATTTTGTACGGCTCGCTAATGATGCTGGAGTTTACCTGGAGAGAGTTCCGGGGCTCAACGCCCCCGCGGCCCAGTCTGTGACCAGGCCTCCTGGTGGATCAGAGCCTGATCAACCAGGCTGTTACTGCTGGCTGCACGCAATCCAACATACGAGCCACAACCCGGATGGTCAGGTACCGACTTTAGGTGCTTGTCCAGTGCCTGCTTGAAAACAGCCAGGGGTCTATTGGTAATCCCCCTTATGTATGCTGGGAGGCAGTTGAACAGTCTCGGGTCCCTGACACTTATTGTATTGTCTCTTAACGTGCTAGTGACACCCCTGCTTTTCATTGGGGGGATGTTGCATCGTCTGCCGAGTCTTTTGCTTTCGTTGTGAGTGATTTTCGTGTGCAAGTTCGGTACTAGTCCCTCTAGGATTTTCCAGGTGTATATAATCATGTATCTCTCCCTCCTGCGTTCCAGGGAATACAGGTTTAGGGTGGCTCCAATCAAATCACGTACCTTACCTCAGTTGGAATTAACGGCCATTTATGTAGGTGTCAAATTAGCCAATTATATAAGAAATAAATTGCGAGAGATAAATATCAGCGACACCGTAATTTGGTCTGATAACGAGGTATCCTTACAATGGATTCGTAATGGTAACAGTAAGATTGTGTATGTACAAAACAGAGTCGCTGAAATCAGTCAAATGCAGGAGAAATATAACAGTTTGGGTCAGCATATGTTAACCTTTAATCACATTCCTGGTGACGAGAATCCAGCTGACTTCTTGTCTCGAGGCTTGACTTATGAAAAATTTGTGAGTGCTTTATCGTGGTTTAAAGGGCCAAGTTGGCTGGTGGACAAAATTAACTGGCCGGTGCAAAAGGCACATATTGCTCCTGTCGAAATTACGGTGAGCACCGCTCCAGTCAGTAGTCCCTCCTTAGCCATTGATATGAATAGGTATTCTTCCTTACCTAAGCTGATTAGTGTGACAAGGTTAGTGTTTAAATTTATAAGTAAGATGAATATCTCGATGGAAATAAATGGTATAAAATACCGACACAATGGAAATATAAACAACTGGACCTTCTTCTAAAAGCTTACTCACTTCGCAACAGACACATTTTTCTTCGTGTTTGCATCCAAGAAATGGTCTTACCAAGATCTACTCCTCCTCAAATTGCCAAATAAACCCACCTTTCTCCGCACGCCGGCCTACCTCATCAGATGCGCATTCTCCACCGCCTCCCTCAAAACCTGACTAAAAATACTCGCGTTCCTTCCACCCCAGGAGTTCTTTTTGTGATTTGAAAATCCACTGTTGGGCGAAACGTAGTCAAAAAAAGGATCACATTATACTGCATTTTTGTTTAAAATTTCCCAAAGAATATCTCATATAATTTTCCCCCATCCCTGAAATACGGGGACAGAGGGTCAAGAAAAACCCTCAGGGTGAGATTAAATTAATGATGGAGGGAAAAAAAAATTGTAAAGGCTCAATAATAGAAAAGTGGGCTGTTTTTAGAGGATGATGTTTTAGGGGCGGGCGGTTTAAAAAAGTGAATTTGGGGGGGAATGCTAACCCCCCTATCTTGCTCCCCAAAAAACTCATCACCTGGCAATTGATTTTTTTAATGCCAAAATTAACGTGATGCACGTGGGGTACAGGTCCTTAAAACTGTTTCGGGAAACCTTCTGGATCCACAAGGAGGGAAAAGTGAAAAAGGGGTTATAAAGCGTGTGAATAGTCCCCCGGGTGGATGCCGGGGGCCTCCACCTTTCCCCAAAGGAACGCGTGCTTTGGGTAAAAACCATTTATGGATGGAGTGGGGCTATGTGGGCCAAACATTTTAACAGGTGCTTCAGAGGTGTTCCCTTTAGGGCATGTATGTCTTTTTATTTTACACTACTAGGGGTGTTTTCTGAAGTGGGTCAGGACTTTTCGCAGAACTTCAACAGCGGTTTTTGGAAAAATTTCAGCTAGGGGGATCCTGTCCAAGATTGATGATCTCAGTAATGCCCCCAATTTTGTAGCGGGTCCAACATTGATGGAATTAAATAAAGTGTGAGTACTCTTTGTTGACCCAGGAGGGTGTGTCTGGAAATTATTACTCCCCAAACCCCCTTGGCAGGGAGGACTGTACGAAAGAAAGATAGGGCGTGAAAGAGTCTTCGTAAGGGCTACACAGGAAGAGAATTATTTTGGGGGAATTCCGTGCAGGTTGGGGGGGGCAGAGAAACGGGTAAACAATCGCCTCTGTCAACACGAGCGACCTCCGCGCGGAGATCTGACCCCTCCCCTAATATGTGGACAAAGGTTTTGAAGCTGCACCTATCTATAGAGTAAAAACCCCCGGGAAGTGTGAGGATTTCATAACGTACCCTGTTTAGTGTAATTCAAATGTTAAATAAGGTAATTACATTTGCCCATGTGTTTACCCGGAGTTTTCCCGGGGAGGTTCCGGGGGTCAACGCCCCCGGGCCCCGGGCTGAGACCGCCCCCGGGGGATCAGGCCCGATCAACCAGGCTGTTGCTGCGGCGCACGCAAACCAACTACGGCCCCAGCCCCGATGTCCGGAACTGAATTTTGGGGCTTTTCCCGTGCCCTTGAAGACTGCCAGGGGGGCTGTTTGGGAATCCCCCTTATGTGGCTGGGAGGCAGTTGAACAGTCTCGGGCCCCCGACCATTGTATGGTTTTTTAACTCTAGTGACACCCTGTTTTTTCTTTGGGGGGGATGGTGCATCGTTGCAAGTTTTTTGCTTTTGGTGGGTGATTTTCGTGTGCAATTTCGGAAAAATCCCTCTAGGATTTTCAGGGTTTAATCATGTATTCTCCCTCCTGCTTTTCCGGGGAATACGGTTTAGGAACCTCAAGCGCTCCCAAAAATTTGAGGTGTTTTATCTCCTTATCGCGCCGTGAAATTCTCGTACATTTCGGTCGGCAATTTCACTGCCTTAAAAAGGTGCGTTAGTGGCAAAAATTTTCCAGCCAGATAGAAAAGGCCCTAAAAAGGGTCATCGGGGGCTTGGCCCCCCTATTTTAAAGGTTTCATTATCCATCCTGTCATTTTTTTAGCAGATGCGATTGATAAAATTTAGGGTCCTTGAAGGGGGAATCCTCCAAAGATCACTCCCGGGCTTTCTTTGGTTTTTCGCTCTTTTTTGTGGCCAGAATTTTTTTGTACTCGGATGAAGTTTTAAATTTTTCCCTTTTTTACCAATCTGAGTAATTGAAATTCTCATCGTTAACTTCTATTTTTTTCTGCAGCCCACTGAAAGATTTGGGTTTATGTCTGCCTGGGGCTTTGCAGGTCTGCAATGGGAAGACACTGTCATGCAGATTTGGGGTCATCTGCAAAGGAAGACACGGTGCTGTGGCTGCATCCTTGTCTTGTCGGATATAAGGGTAGGAACAAAATGGCGTAAAAAATATCTTCTTAATAGTGAACACTTTTTTTTGGGGCGCCGAGGAGTAAACCCACAGAACATTTAAACCCGGTGACATTGTGTTTAAATTGATACGAAACAAATCGAACATTGTGGCCCTGGGCAAGGTAGTTACATTATCCCAGATGCCAAGGTGTTTCAAACGTCAAAATGTTGTGTCGTGGTCGGAAAATTTGGTACCATAATAATTAAATTCCCTTAGAATTTAAATGGTGTTCAATCCCGTGCAATGGAAATCTAAAAGGGGAAAAAGACACGAGTGATATTGAAGCACTGACCGGGAATGCAAGAAGAAATTGTATAAAACCACTAGGAAAACAAGGCCCAAACTAAAGAGGGGGGGGGGGGGAATCGTCTCCTGGAGGAAAAACGCAATTTA